GTCTCAAAGTCACATCAATCATTGTTGGGATGCAGGAAACTAAATCTGGTGCTATAGCGAAGAGTCTGTGAAACGGAAACGGTTTGTCCGGTCGTAGGCCATCAGCTGGCACAACACGGAGCCACTAAAACGATAGCGTCTCAAAGTCTTCCAATTTTCGATGATCTGCGCCAGGGACTCGATGGACGTGAGAGCGTCGCGAAGCGACCGGACCTTCCAGGCGAGCTCCTGGCGCCGATGTGGTGCTCCGGAACGGAAGATATCAGCATTGAACCAGAGATTTCGAGTTTTGTCCGATCGTAGGCCATGAGATGGCTGCAGACACAGCCATTGAAACGATGGCGTCCCGGCGTCTTTCTATTTCAGATTTGAGTTTGGTTTTCGCTGTTCGGTTTTCGCGACAGCGATGTTCTTGCTTTCGATTCAGCGACTGCTACACCAGAGGATGATTAATCACATGGCTCTTGATTGCTTATGCTCTTTGATTGTTTCACGTTCTAGTCGTTGACGGTTACAAGTGAAACGGCTCAAGAGTCAAAGTGACATGCCAGGCGCTGAGCCAGCAGTTTTGGTTTGGACGGTTGTTGCTTCACATTGCGCAAGCAGCCCTTGTGGATTCTGCAGGTTCGATCGTCTGCGTGATGCAAGTGATCTGACTTAGGCAGGAGATTGACCACCTTAGCACAAGATTTCGGAACTCGGCATGATTAGGTTCACCTACGCCTTCGCAAGCCGTAGATCTTGTGCATGAAGCAAGTGACGCGACTTAGGCGACAAGTTGACCTGCCAGACGCCTAGCACAGGATTTCAGTGCATGTTTGATCTTTGATGCGGACGTTTGCAAGTGAAACGGCTCAGCGAGCAAAGCCACGTGCCGGGCGCCGAGCCAGCAGTTTTGCTTCTGACGAAAAAAGCTAGCCGAGCACTTTATGGTTGCTCTCCAGGTCGCGATGACTGTGATTTCAGCAGCAGTCGTTGCAGAGGCAGGTCTGCAAGATTCGCTCCATTGTTTGGCTGTCAAAGTTTGCAACATGCCGCGTGCATCAAAGTGAGTGTCATGCTCCAAAAACAAGGAGTCTCGGCTGAGAGAATTGTTTGCTAGCTTCCGTGTCCAAGCATGGCTTTTCCGTTCGCGCTTGGCGCCGACATGGTTTTGGACAGCTCGGACGAAGGTGAGAACCGCCTTGTGAAGACCGAACCGGCAGCGGCCAGTCGCCCAGACAAACCGGGTGCCGAGGAGGTCATCGAGATCTCATCGGAGGAGGATGGTGGCATTCGGGAGACTCCGAAACCTCTTCCAGGCTTCCTGAAAGCCATGTGGCGCGACCACGAAGGACATGGCACGTGCACAGGCTCCAACGAGCTGCCTTGCTGCTTCGGCAAAGAAGGCAATGCCGCCAATGCCGGGCCAGATGGAAGGTGCGACTTGTGCAGTGGCACGACCATCCGCATGCTTCATGACCATCCTTATGCCTATCGTCGCCTGACATTCTTGCTGAAGCAGCTGCATGGCAAACCACTTCTTCATGCACTTGTGCGGATCAAGCTCGTGCTCGGAGTCCAAGCCCGGGACCTATACAAGGAGCGACGCAGAGCCGCGCTGAGACATCCCGCAAAACGCGGACGTCGCAGCACGGCCTAGTCTTGCTATCTGATCCACGCCATGTGAGAGTTTTTGAAAGAGTGCGGAACTTCTTGTTAGCAAGCACCAAAAGACAGAAGCCGAGTTAGAGCTGCATGGCGTTTGACCTTCATCATGGTGTTTTGACTCGCAGCCTTTTGACCTCACGCGCATTCGCACTCAGCTTGTCTTGACACCTCGATCCAAAGATGGCTCTCTGGGAGAAAGCCGCTCCAGAGCAGGAGGCCGACGAGGAGTCTCAACAGGTGGCCGCGGCACAGCGCCGCACCAAACTCTTTCCCTATGACAGTGTCGCGGCGCAGCTCCTGGAACC